TTAACATAGTCGATAAGACGTGGATTATATTGATTGGGAGGGTTGAGCAATATTCATATTAATCCATTTATTGAGATTAGGGAGTTTCGTGGGGCGACATTCGCGGGACGTAAGTAGGAAAATCCATTAACATTATCGGGAAAGCACCTGCGTTGACGTAGAAAGAGAGCTTTACTTTGAATGACATCACAGATCTATTCCTGGTATGTAAGAGGTCACGTATGCGGATAAAACGAGTCTTCACGTTACAATCAAGTGGAATACTTGTAAAACTTATTATGAACGATCTCTAGCAATATAACTATGATATGTCTTTAGTTTTTATCCTCTAATCGATTTCCATCGAATTTCAGAGAAAGTGCGGTAAAAGGCGGTATACATAAATTTAATAATATTACACTAAATAGAATATATACTTTATACAAAATGCGCGAAATTATTTTGAGGCGAAAGTATTATTTTCATGTGTATGGATTTATTATTATTGAAATGTAACGAAATGCAATGAAATGCAACTCGTTAAACGTTAATTGTGAGTAGTCGACGAATTCCAAAGTAAATAAAGAGAATATGAGAGAGGAGGCACGTTTGAGGTATGAGAGCGTGATAGCATTGTTATCATTCCATTGATGATTAATCGCGAATTAAGCGGCCCTCGCAAATGGACGCTTGACTTTATCGTGCCTGCAACAATTACGCTGCAACAGTCGTGAGAAAGCGGTCGATAATTTCGACGTGATTGTTATCCGGTGTTATCCTGGAGCTGGAGCCTCGTCTATCCGATTTCACGTTTATCGTGTCTCGCAATATCGCGATATCCAGATCCCAAGTCCGTCTGATCATAACACGTTGCTTCCCCTTAAGCAGTAGCTCCTTTTTTTTATCGATTATTAATATAATCATGTATCGCATATTACGGCTATTAATATCAAACAGCTATTAATATAGAATTATTATATTATCATCTTATTAATATTACGCATATAGAAAGAAAGAAAAAGAAAAAGAGAGAGAGATTATTCGAAAATGATAAATTCTTCTTAAAATTTTGGTATAATTTTTTTATAAGTATATACAATGAGATCATACTTTTTTTTATGCTTTTTCCTGCGATTTAGAATCTTTTGCAATTCGCAGGAATGACAATCTATGACATTCGTATGACATATTGGATCGTTTATCATTGTAAGATGACGATGATGTCGTCAAAGGGTTAAGTAGAGAATATATCATCGTTCAAAACGTAGAGTTTCTCATCTTGGACAGTCGATCGTAAAATAAACGTTGATGAGAGATGCAATTTTTTGAAGTCAACCTTCGCCTGACATTGCTACAAAAATCCATCAATTATATATTATTATACAATACACACACATGCATTATATACATATAAATATATGTGTGTGTATTTATTATCAATAATTGACAAATAAATCATTAAAATATTAAAAGAGAAATTGTTTGGAGTAAGAGTAATATCTCAAAAATATAAATCTAATTTTTACCTGATGTGATTAATATTAAAAGTTTATTATTTACTTAATTAACGAATACAAATTTTATTTGAAAACTATCATAATTTTTCAATTGATGAGCAATAATTCAATTACAATTGATGATGTTTTCCTTTTAAGTCTAGTTTTATAGTTGATTTATGATTGTAATTACTATCATTAATCACTTGATTTTATTACTCATTTGATTATTACTGATTTGATATTACTCATTTGCTTATTGCCGATTACATTTTGTCCTATTATATTCTCTCTCTCTCTCTCTCTCTCTCTCTCTTTCTCTTTCGATTCAGTACAAAGATTCAGTACAAAGATTCAGTACATAAGATTATACAATGCCGTTTTCTTCAATGATCATATCGCATCTAAAAGTGATTGACGGCTGTAAACTAATGAGTTTTCCGAGTCATGCCTCGTAAAATTCATTCTTCATTGACAGAAGAAATAAGCGGTTTAACGGCAAGACGATTTATAATTAGCAAACGTCGCGATATTTGAGCGCACAAGAGTGTAACTACCGGACATACCTTCTTGGCACATAATATTTCGACCACGAGGACGACCAACAGGTTTTTCGTAACTTGTTATTCGAATGCGTTCACATATTCGTTGCCTTCGATTGCAAGTTCAATCTAGATCGGTCTCGAAAGTATTCGATTCAATAGGCGGCTCAGATATTGAAGCATAGAAGAAAGCTACGTTCTTCGCTTTAAGATTCCAAAATTTCCACTTTTTAAATAGATACTTTAGAAAATTTAAACTTATATTTAAAGAAATTGACTTAAAAATGAAAATAATACAATTAGTTTATTCAAATTTATGCCTAGATTTTAATTTCGTTATTTTTTATTTTTAAATTAAATTTTGTTGATATTAGTAGTTTTATTATATTTTTGTTTCGAAATGATGCAAGTTATTAAATAAGATTGCATTATTCACTGAATATTGAATTGAAAAAATTGCGAGAACGTGAATTTTATTATTCTCCGTTATTATACTTTATTTATTTTAATAACAATGTGCTTTCTGAAATTTTCATAGGAAAGAATCTCTTTTATGGATTTTTTCAATTTCTTTTGTGTGCTGATTATACATGTACATATAATAAATTGATAATATGTTCTATAAAAAATTTCAGTATTTTTTTATGCGAAAAAAATATTAAATTGTAAATATTCGTTTTCATATATGATGGAGATCCAAATATTTTTTCTCACTCACTAATGATATTGAACTCTAAATATTTTTTGTTTTCGCGAGGAATGTTTGTACAAAGATATCGTTTTTCATCGATCATAAAGTACATTTCATGTACATATTTCCTACTGACCTTCAACTACTCCTTTTGTTTTATAATTAATAAGAATACCTCCAATACGCTTTTTAATGATAGTTCGAGTCAGAAAATGATCATCGTTACTCATTCAACATCGATAAACTGTTTGTCTCATGCTTATCATATGTAAGAAAGAAAATATAGATATATTGAAAAATATGTATATTATATAATAGAGTTATTTTCTAATTGAATTTTTTTCTTTTCTCTCTCTTCTCTTATGAATTCAGAGTGCAAGTGTACCTTCCTTTCTTTCCTACATCGTTGATAGATTTGATTATATTCGCAGAATGCAATCTCAGACAATATTCTCGGAACAGATTGAGATAATATTGCCTCGGATAATAGTCCTATAAAATGCAAGATATGCTAAATCTGTGTATGATAAAAATAGTTTTGCAAGAATATTTTCGTTTTCCATCGCTATTTTTAGATAAAGGAAGAAGACAGCGATTGGTAGTGACTTTAGAAATATGCAATCTCTTTTTATATTGGTTCATTATATTTATATATATAACAAAATAATTTAATCTTAATTTATAATCTTGTCTAAAATTATCATTATTCAAATTAATTGTCTCTGCGGAAGTTACTTGTCTTACTGACTGAAAAAAGTTTATTAAAAGTTTATTTGGATAAGAAATTAATATCGTTCTCTTCCTCTCAGAAATATGAATCATCAATCGAAATTTTGTACAAGATTACATAATAATCGGATATTTCCGATAGTCATATGATGCATATAACATGTGTGCGTTTAATTAATAATCCTATCTATCATAAAATCGAGATGTAATAAGTTTAAATTTCCTAGCAAAATTAGCAGATATTATACAAATCATAATTAATAATTGAATAAATTATTTAAATAATTGACTTTATCAACAAATTAATTAATCTTGTAATTGCAATTTAATTCATTTTTGCTTTTCTTCATAATAATTATGGAGATATCGTAAAATGTAAAGTGAAAATTGATTAATTTATATTTAAAATGTAGTTTCTATCTATTATTCATAATTTTTTAAACAGTTCTTTATTCCAGTTTATTCAATAGTGCGAGAAGTAACGAGAAAGACCAATTCATTTACAGATAAAGTGAGTGTATATGGACAAAATATTCGGGCATTAATCGAAACAAGTTTGCACACAATTATTTAATCTTTAATTATTTAATTAAATTTCTTTTTAGAAATTTGAGAAGACTACTAGTTGAACTTTTCTTCAAATGGAAATATTATATCAAAATTTTTAAGTTGTTGCATACGAAATTGAAGAATTATATACGCAAAGGAGCTACAGTAAATAATAATAGAATAAATTTTTTTTTCAATTTCCTTTGATTCAGCGACTTTACCCTAATATTTTTCTCGTTTCTTCAAGGAAGTGAGAAAGTTAAAATTAATAAATCTCGAATTGAAATTTATTTAGATTTGATGTAGAAGCGAGAAAAATTTAAACTTTATATTATAAATTAATTAGCTTCAAAGGAAAATTACTTTTCTTTGAAACTAATACATTACCATCTTATATTTGGCTCTTGTTAAAACGCGAAATTTTAAAATTTGTTTTACTTGAGAGTCTAAAGTTAATTGTTTTTACTTGAGAGTCTAAATCTTGTAATCGTAAATTCAATTTCTTATATATCTCTCTTACAGCTAATTGCATTACAGTATTTTGTACGGGACAAATGTAAATAAAGAGAACAGAACTTAAATGAATTTTAATAATTTTTTCTATAAATAAATTAATTAATTAACTGCCATCTAATCAATCTTTCGTTTTAAAAAGCAAAACTCCGAAGATATTTCCATTTAACCCTTTGCGACGAAGTCTAATACAGAGCACGCGTGATAGACAGCATATATTTAGCTGTGACCACTATAAATAGAAAAACTTTTTGCTATCACGCATCGTATAGATATCAAGATATTTGAATAATGATAATATAGATATTGAGCGCCTAAAAGTGCCCACAGTGTATAGGTGATATTTGAATGCTTTAAGGCGCCAACAGTATACAATTATCACAATTTCAAACCGCCTAAAGGCGCCTACAGCAGCGAAAGAATTAAACTTTGATGCGACCGGCTTCTCTATCGTCGAGCAATTCCCTGGAGAATTTGCTCCAGCGATTAATACGCACTTACCTCGTTTGAGGGGCGCGACATGCATGACTCTTGGAGGGACCGATAAGAAGGGCGGATCGTGAGACCGCCTCTCATGACACCACGCCGCTACTTTTCAATGCAACCACCGCCGTTCGCGCCTTACGCAACTGCTATCCTTCCACGCTTCGTCGTCCTCGTCCTTTACTCGCACTCCTTCGCCTTCCACCCTCGTCTCGACCTCTGTCCTTCCGGGACCGGTCCTTATCGTTTCTCTTTATCGCGTTTTTATCTCGGTTTCTTAATAGCGTTCGATGCTGGATTTATTGCTGGATGTTGCCGAAGGAGATCTCTAAGGATCCTTCTGCTCCCAATATCTATTTTCGCTTTTTTTTCTTTAATAGATTATCGCCGATGCCTCTGTCAAAGTATTACTCTGTACGACACACCTTCATCGAGCTCTCGCGCTTTACTGGGCGTTCGTTGGAGGTGAGGTCTATTAGAGCCACCGGGATAGTGGATGAAGCGAGGAGAACGCGGGGAGAAGGAGAATCGGCGCGACGCGACGCGCGCGTCGTGAACTCGCTCGATATCGACGACAGGGCGACGCCACCGCGAATCCTTATTCCAATGTGGAAGCCTCCATCGGTTATCACGCGTTTCTTGCATGCAGGAGCAGGATGAGCCGAGCCGGCATTTACGACGGGATGTCGATGACACACGACTTGTATATATAGCATCTCAGTCGCTTAATTTTAATCTTGCCTTTCGTTGAATTCCTACACATGTTCGAGTTCAAATAAATATTTACATATAATTTCTAATAGAGAATCTTAATTTACAAATTTTATATTTTTTAATAATACAATACATGTGTGTAAATTTCTCTCGTTTAAAAAAATATTTTAATAGGACTATTTAAAGGCAAGTTTATTTGCGTTTCTTTTGTACATTTCTTTAAAAGTAATACAACTCAGGAGTCAATTCAAGTTTAAATTATTAAATTTGTCGACAATTTTCTCCATATATATATATATATATAATTATATTTAAAATTATTAAAAATTCATTTAAATATTTTTTTCTTTATTTATAGTCCATGTACGACTATAATGCAATCAATGTATAAGAAATTATGAATATTATATATAATATTAATATATTATATAATATGTATTAATATATAATATTATATAACATATAATAATTATATATAATATATAATAATTATATATAAGTGCAGAATTTTTAACAATATTTAATTAATTATATAACTTGAATTGATTCGGTATTATTGAGTCGATCATTTTCAAATAGATACAATAAAACGCAAATAAATTTACATTAAGTTTTTGTATATAAATATATATATATATATATTGCTTTCCACATATTATATGTATATATATATGTATTATATGTATATATATAACTTTCGATTTGTATGCTACAACTTGCACGCGATATTATACCATTACAATTTGAGAACTATCACGTTTTATTGGTACATAAATTGATAGAAAAATAAGTAAATATGATTATATAATTCATCGTATATAGATACTTGTTATATAAAAGTATTTTTCAAATGTTGTCACTTGTTCCATTTATTGGTGATCCTCCTCAATTAAATTGAGTAATTTTTGCGAATAAGCATTATTTTCTTGTGTGCGTCTGTACTATTTTGTCGCTCAAGGATTTAAGGACGGACGGGATTTACTTCTTTTTTTTGAGGTCCTTCTTTCTAAGGAATTAAATTAGTATATTTCGTCAATTTTTGCAGGGAACAATGTCGCGTATAAACGCTACATGTTACATATGCATATATATACCAGTATGTGTGTATACGAATGTATACATATAAATATATAAATGCGCGTTATTTATATAATACATCGTGTTGGCCGATCTCTTTCTCTCTCAGTTTCAACTGCTAGGCCAGCAAATGCTATTTGGTTCATACAAAACAATTATAATAAGTGCGCGACATACATTCGGGTAAAATGTACAACAATTGATCATAGCGATCAATATCGATCGATATACATATGTATTAACAAGTAAATAACGTGAAGAAAGGGTCCCGAGTTGTTACGCCTTAATGGGTGCTGACAAAGTAGCGATAGACGAGGGTCGCGAATACCCCAAGAACGATCGGGATCAACCAGGACCGCCAAGAACTGCAATTGCCAATCACATCACGATGCAGCATGATTGACTATTTACACACATGTAGTATGACAATACTTAAAAAAGGAAACTCTCTCTTCATGAATTTAGATGGCATGAATACTCGATATTAATTATAGCTATATAGATATGAGAATTATTAAACAGAAGTAAATTATTTTATAAATAATAAAAAAATTAATTTTTGAAAAATAAGCAAAAATAAAGCAATGAACAAACTGTTTTACAAGTAATTGTAGAAAATAAAGCATATGTTGCATATTGATATTGCAAATAAAGAATTAACATTGGTAAAATTATTTGTATAAAGTATTTTTAGAATATGATTAGATTTATAGAGTTGTATCATTTTAATATAATACAAATGTAATAATTTAATGTAATACAAATTAAAATTTATTTAATTAATTTATTAACAGTAATTTATTATTAAGAAAAATGTAAAAATATCACATTTCTGCAAATTGTCAATTGAAATAATTATCATTCTAACCAATACAAAAGTCTCCACATTTGGATAAAATTTAAAATATTATATATTAATGATATCATAAAATATTATTTATGGTTTTTCTTTAACAAGATCTTTTAATCTTTTTTAACTTGTTTCTTTTAACAAGTTTCATACCATCTGTATAATGATAAAACTAAAGAAAATTAAATAAGATAGAGATAGATCATTTAGTTTAAGGAAAAATTTAGTACTTTTGAGGAGGAAGAAAAAAAGCAAAAATTGTTTGATATAGAAAATATAGTTATTTAGAAAAACTGAAATGTTAGAAGAGAGAATTATTAATATTGAGAGGTTTTAAAATAAGATTTAATACATAAATAGAAGAAAGATCATACCTAGAATTATCTTCGCCATTAGCAGACCAATCTCTATCTTTTTTCCCATTATCTTGTTTCCTTTCTTCCTAAAATGCATTTAATATTTTAATATTAAAAATGAATAAGAAAAATAATCTTGAATGTAAAATTTATTCTCACTTCTATCAATTCCCCAATTTTATATGATTCCATCATTTGTCTCGCATCAGTGGAATGCCCAATATCTTCAAACGGCTCAGTAGCATCATTTCCACCTTGTTCCAAGAGTACTTCTTCACCTCCAGGGTGCTATACATTAACAAAAATAATTTAAACTGAAACTAATTTATAATAAAAGTAATATATATTAAACATATCTGCATTGAATTAAATATTAAATTTCCAATGAATTAAATTTAAAGAAGATAAATCAATATTTATATTTAACATATCAATGAGACTCTAAGATAAGAGTAATCAGTTGATATAATAAAAAATCTAATTTATCATTAGTAAGAAAAAAATTGCAACCTCATTAAGGAAAGAAGTAACATTGTAAACATTGTTATGAATGATGATCCACGTATCCTTGTGATCGTTATGTTTTGCTACTTCTGCCCGGGTGAAGAGCTTGCTCGATGAACTAGCTGAAGAAGTATCATCCTTAACGTTTTTAGTTGCCATTTCGTGGATTTTTTTTCACGGCTTTTGCGATTTTGTCTTGAATTTCCGTCGAAAATTCAACAGCTCGTCTTTCCTCGAAAATGACTCCTGGACTCCTCAGCTGACTCAGCACCTTTCTCGATTCGTTATCGCTTTCTGTCGGTTCTTAAACGAGTATACGCATCGACTTGAGGAAGAATAATAAATGTATTCAGAACAAATAGATAGACCTTATCACTCTTCGGTCAATGTTTTTGATAGATGTTCTGATAATTTTGTATTAACATCGGTAGTTATATTCGCGCTGGCAGCATAATTCCAGGAAGAATGAATAGAGATTCTCACGAGAATCCTCGTGCGATTTCAAGCGATTATGAAGAACACCGCACTCTATGTTGAGAGCGACACAATCGTAGTTTAAAATTTGTTTACATGAGATACGTTTACTTTTAAGGCCCGGTTCCACAACTCGAGTTAAGGTGCAATTTCATTGACGCTACTTTTTAATGTCAATGAAATTGCACCTTAAGTTCATATTTTTATGTTTATGCTACATATTTAGAGTTGTAAATAATTTGATAAAAAATGTTCAATTTATAAACAATGGTAACGCAAATGAAATATATCATTGTCTCTAAATCATTATATGTAATTAACATATAATGTGTATTTAAAATTAATTTATCAATTTAACTCCAATAAAATTATGAAATTTTTTTCAGGTATATTATTGTTTAATATTGTTTAATTTATTGCTTGTCAGTCATTCACATTTATTAAAAATAGTCACTTTATTAAATAATGTGAGAAACTCTATATTTTTTGCGAATAGTAAGTAGAACTTTTATGGATATAGCATTTTGATAATAGTTTATATTTACAGTAGAAAATAATTTGTATTTCTTTGTGCTTTTGTTCTATAGGACCTGAAGATGAATTATGAAAGGGTGTGACAAGTATCAGTAATGCAGGAAGACGCAGAGATAGAGCAAGAAGAGTAGTGAAAAGAGAAAGCTCCTAAATAAGGAGCAAATTATTGACATGGGAAAAATTCAGATACAATTTCCTGGTCTAAACACTCCTGTGTTTAGAGGAAAAGAATTAATTCAACAGCAAAAACTGCTTGTAAATTTTGAAAGAAAGCAAAAACTTATGGAATTACCACAAAGTCAGACCAGACCAATGCAAATAAAATTATTGCCACTGGAATGTGGTTGGACAAGTGTTATAATGGATGGCAGAAGCATTGAATCAGATCTTATTGGAAAAGGTTAATATTTATGCTATTATTGGATTATAATGGTTAAATCACACACATACAAAAATCATGTAATACGATGTCTATTTTCAATTTTTTTTTTATGTTTCAGTTCTAAATATTAGAATCTTATATAATTAATATCTTTGTTTTCTGTAGATACATTTGAAAGTTTTGAAATCTGGATTTTGGAAAACAAAATGATAACTTGTATGACCGGTAATTTAGCACGTAAGACTAGAATCAGTTCATTTATAGTAACTGGAAATGGAAATGGATTAGCTGGATTTGCGTTATCAAAAGCCAAAGCATCCCTAAAGACGGTTAAAAATAGGGCTGGTCAAAGACTAATGTATATTCCTACATATAAGGAATACACTGGTAAGAAAATAATTGTCAATACTATATAATATAAAATTTATTTCTTCTCTTTTAATATCACTTTGTATTTTTCAGTGTTACATGATTTCTTTACATAGTTTGAGAATATAAAAATATTTGTAAAGAAAATTCATGAAGGATAATGGGCTTGTTTGTCATCATGCGATAAAAGCGTGTTGTGAGATAATTGGCATAAAGGATATGTATGCCAAAGTACAAGGAGGAATGTAAAAGCATTCTTTATTGGTTTATTGCAACAGGTATGTATATAAAGTATTTAAAGGCATATTATACTTTTTATTTAATTTATATTAGAAAGAAACATTTTTTATTTATAAAAATATATATACATATATATATATGTTAGACATAAAGCTAAAAAAAAACGTAGATTGTGTCGATTAATTAATTAATTGTTTTATTTAATTATCAATTTATATATGTATATTATTAACAATAATTTTTTGTTTACTTAAACTATAAGGTATAAGGTTGTACATAAGAAACAATCTTTTTTATTTAGTATTTCAAGTATATTTTCATAGAACTTTAATTTAATTATTATATTATTAAAAATATTGAACAAAATAAAGAATTAAAGCTGGCTTTCTCTGCAGTCTCATGGCAGATTATATCAGAAATCATACTTTAATTATTGCAATATATCATGAAACAAATCAATCTCAAAATAATGGAAATATTTGCAGAAATATCAAATATGTAATGTAAATATTTTAATTTTTTTGTATGCGATCTATTTTTTATTCTATTGATGTTTTTATAGTGATGCACCTTGAGCACTTTGCTTCATATGTTTGCAATAAAAATATATTGAAGCAAATTATTTTGCAAATTTATTATTCTAATTTTTATTTAGAAAGACTAAGATTAAAAAAGATGTATGCATTTTTTTCAGATATTTCTATTGAAAAAAACGCATCAGATAAAACTTTCCTGTACATTTTAAATGCGCCAAAAGATTTGCTCTTTATTCCACTTACTGCAATAATATACACTAAAAATGACAGATCTATATTAAAAATGATAGATCTATTTAGTAGTTGGAAAGAAAGAGAGGAGAAATGAAAAGTGCATCTAGAGAATTTAAAAGAATAAAAATCTAAAAATAATAATACATAAAAATTAATATTATGTATTTTTTTCATGAGGAATGTGGGGCGCACATTTATGCATTTATTTATTTGGATGAGATTTACTTTAGAGCACATTCAGTATTCAACTTTAATTTTATTTTCTCTTTCTTATGATATATAAGTATAACATAATTACCTGCAAATGCTATCACGTTGTGTGCTTACAGTGATACAGAAGCAACATTACAAGTACTATATTTACAGATAACATCTGTATAATAAAAAAAGCACCAAAAATCTAATGATGAAAAAAGGATAAATATTGTAGACCAGGATAAGTATCAACCAATTATTCCACCGCTCTGTTTCATTAGAGTTGCAATTTTCTTTTATATCATAAATATTATAAATATAAGATAAAGATTTCCGTACGTTTCAAATAAATTTATATATTTTATGTATGTAATACTGCGCACACATATTAAAAGGTGATAATATCGCAGTTATAATAAGATACGATCCTGGCAATGTAGTGATTTTTGGATCCTACTTAAAATAATTTAATTTGATTTATTTTTGAGAAATGCGCACAATACTTGAGAACAAATTATTTTTGTGCCATGTATTACCTGTGTAAAATTCCACACACAGTATCATATTGTCTGCGATATATGAAAAGCTTCATCGATGAAATATGATTGAGATATAAGAAAAGTAATATAGTACTTGTAATGAATAACGTTAATGTGGAATACATAAATATTTTATATTTTAATTTCATATAATCAAGATGAGATAAGACACTCATGATTACTTTAAAAATGTGTCCACAAATATCATGTAACTTCAACAGCTGCACATTCGTTAAATTAATCCTATTACGTTAAATGAATCACAGCAGCTTGTTTTAATTTAATCTAACCTAACCAATTATATTATATGCTTCTCATTAAAATGTGTAAAACTACACATTTAATACGATTAATATACTACGTAATAAAATGTAATACACTAATGAAATAATTAAATATTATTTTTGAAAGCATGATAAAATCCAGGCAGCATACGCTTGCGTTTACATTCGACATTCAAAGCACTGAGATGTTAGGTTAGGTTAGATCGAAAAAATTTATCGTTTAACAGTTGGCAGCCCTACGAGATAGGCTGTGCAGCACTGCGCGTATATAAAATAAATTTGAAATCGCTTCTAGCCGAACCATCTTCACGCGATCGACTTTATTTGAATTGCATGGCATCGCATCGAATTATGATGCGGCGCCGATTTGTTCGAACGTAATTCGGGACATCGCGATGCTGTATAAGCGTCGAATGAGCACGAATTGTCACGCAAATATGATAAATCAAATCTACTCACCGTTCACCGGCTGTTCCACAGACCGCTCCACTCGCTCGCCTCGGGACGTCCCATTCCGATCTTGATGCACACGATATCATCAACGCGAACGCGCGACACTTTATTCGGCACTCCCGATACTCGCTCGCATCCGATAATCATCATCAAGGGCGCGAATAACGCGACGCAACTTCGCTCCATCTTCGCGATGACGCCATCACTGAATATCGTCAAAAATCGCTGTTGCGCGTTTCCATCGACACACTATAAAAGTCGCGCGATCATCCTTGGACACTTTTGACGCTCGTTCACTCGCGATATTCGTTTAAAAACGGTTAAAAGACGCGAAAAATGCGGACGTACGACGATCCGTGTAACTGCGTATGACTCCGATTCACGTATGACGCGTATGACGTAGCTATGACGCGTATGACGTAGCAGTCACGCGCCAACATGGCGGTCGAACCTGTGCGCAGAAACGAATGCGTACTGGTTCGGCCGCCATGTTGGCGCGTGACTGCTACGTCATACGCGTCATACGTGAATCGGAGTCATACGCAGTTACACGGATCGTCGTACGTCCGCATTTTTCGCGTCTTTTAACCGTTTTTAAACGAATATCGCGAGTGAACGAGCGTCAAAAGTGTCCAAGGATGATCGCGCGACTTTTATAGTGTGTCGATGGAAACGCGCAACAGCGATTTTTGACGATATTCAGTGATGGCGTCATTGCGAAGATGGAGCGAAATTGCGTCGCGTTATTCGCGCCCTTGATGATGATTATCGGATGCGAGCGAGTATCGGGAGTGCCGAATAAAGTGTCGCGCGTTCGCGTTGATGATATCGTGTGCATCAAGATCGGAATGGGACGTCCCGAGGCGAGCGAGTGGAGCGGTCTGTGGAACAGCCGGTGAACGGTGAGTAGATTTGATTTATCATATTTGCGTGACAATTCGTGCTCATTCGACGCTTATACAGCATCGCGATATCCCGAATTACGTTCGAACAAATCGGCGCCGCATCATAATTCGATGCGATGCCATGCAATTCAAATAAAGTCGATCGCGTGAAGATGGTTCGGCTAGAAGCGATTTCAAATTTATTTTATATACGCGCAGTGCTGCACAGCCTATCTCGTAGGGCTGCCAACTGTTAAGGTGCAATTTCATTGACGCTAAAAAGTAGCGTCAATGAAAAGGCCGCTTTACACACTGAAAAAGTTGAAACTGTTGAACTTTATTTTATTGACGCCAAATCTAGAGAAAGTCTAATGATTTTAATTTGCCGCTGGTTTCTAGCGTCAATGAAATTGCACCTTTAATCCGAGTTTAATACGTTAAACTGGGTCCTGATTGGTCCATTCGCTACTTAAACTCGGATTAACTAAATTGTGGAACTGGACCTAAGACTGGGAACACAAACTTTTGTATAAACGCATAAACATAAACACAAGAAAATAAATAAATTAATTTTAATTATTTTTTATGAATATATCTATGGACCAATCAATTTTTTTATGCACATGTCTATGGATCAATTAATTTTTTTATGCATAGTGCATAAGTATAAGCATAAGAAAATTTATTGGTCGATAAGCATATGTATAAGGAAAATAAATTAATCCATTTAAATTATCTTAACATTTTGATATAAATACACCATTTTGATATAAATACAATTTTTTAAGATCTTATTACTACAAGTTGTTTCGATGTGATTAGGATTAGGGCGCATTTACATTCATCAAAATTCGCGCTAATCGCAATTTCTACTTTTTGCCTATCTAATGTATTGCTTATACACTGCTTATTACCAGCACGAGTTCTGATTGGCTTTCTATTTTTCTGCCAACGTTTTCTGTCAAAGTGTGAATGCGCCCTAAATGCACATAATCTAATATCTAGAATATCTATCTCAATTATATATATGATAGAATATGTACAATTATCTATTCATTTTGTAATGTAAATAAAAATTGAATGTTTTATTTACAAAAAGCTCAAGAAAGCACATAATTGTTTCATGAAATACAATTTCTAAATATAACGAGATCTTCAAATTTTCAAGCTGAAATTTCGCTCAACTCTAAACTTGCATTGTTAATTTTTGATGTATCTACTTAAATAATGATATTATTCACTTCGAAAGCACAAATCCAACGTTATAAGTGTGATGTATAGATATAAATTAAAAATCGTCTGTCACAAACTGTCACAGGCATGGTGTGGAACGTTAACCAAGCTCCATTATATAGCAGTTGACAATTAAATACGAACAATTAAATATGAATTTTGTCGGTTGCAGTTTGATGTTTTTATTTATCTTCGCGATTGTTGAAACAGCACGATGCGAACTTCTTACGCTTGGTATAATAGGCTCAATCGGTGGTTCGTTATTGGGTAGTGCAGGTTATTATGGTTATGAAAAGTTCAAATGCAACTTCATGGAATGCTGTACATATGATTATATTCCTTCTGATTTAGATAGTAAGTACGAACTCGTCTGTGAATGTCGAAAAATTTCTTATTTTTTTAAATTTGATAAAAATATAAATATAAAAAAAATTATTATCTTTTATAAATTATCTTTTATATATATATATATATATATATATATATATATATATATATATATATATTCTATAATTTATATATATTAAAAAATAGAATTTTTTTTCTTTTGTTTCTATTACTTTTCTGATTTTTTCCTTACTTGATTAGCAATGTGATTTTTTTTCATAGAAGAATTAATTTTATAATTTAAGCAAGATTTTAGAATATTTTTCTTGATATTTTTCAAATAGAAATGCCTATTCTATATATTATGTACTATGTTTATAAGATTTAGTATCTCGTTAAATTACTTGTAATTATAGCTCTCTATTCTGTCCTCACTTTATTTCTTTTCTACAAATATAGACAAAAATCATGAAACGAAGTTATTATTAATAATGTATTTATTTATTTTAAATTATTTAAATTATTAGAATTAGAAGTTATGCTCGCTGCCAGATTATATGGGCAACAAATTGCTCAGGAAACAATTATAAATGCACTGCGGGGACATTTGGGAAATAAAGATTCACCCAAAGCATTGGTCATGAGTTTTCATGGCACACCAGGGACTGGCAAGAATTATGTAGCGCAAATGATTGCCAAAGCATTTTATAAGAATGGTGTTCAAAGCCAATATTATTATTTTTTCAATGGTCGCAATGATTTCCCTTTGCAACGAAAGGTGGACGAATATAAGGTATACTTAACTAAAATTCATTATAATATAGTGATAACATAATATAAATAACTCATTATAATATTATAATAATAAATTATATTACTAAGGAAGGATAAATTAAGAAAAAATTAATATTATAAAAAAAATTCATTATAATATGATGATAATGTCAGAAGTGAATTAACAAACATGAACTCTTTTCACAGGAAGAGCTGTATGAAGCTGTTTCTAATGCTCTAAAAAAATGCGAGAGATCCTTATTCGTGTTCGACGAAGTGGATAAAATGCCAGAAGGCCTTTTAAATATACTGGTTCCTTTTCTCGATTATAACATGTATCATAAACCTTCAAAGCAGAGCAAGATTGTATATCAGAACAAGGCCATTTTCATATTTTTGTCAAATACCGGCAGTTCTCAAATAGTGCAGCATCTCAAGAGTCTATGGGAGAAGGGCAAGAAACGGGACGATACTCGATTGCAAGATTTTGAAAAATTGATAGCCAATGGCGCGTTCAATGAAAAAGGTGGTTTACATCATAGTGATACTATACAGACCAGCGTGATCGATCACTATGTACCTTTTCTGCCTTTGGAAGAGGTGCATGTTAGAAAATGCTTGACAAGGGCTTTTTCCGAGCGAAATGTCACACCAAAGGAGGAAATGATAGAAGAAGCGCTGTCGCATTTAACTTTCGGTCCCGAGCCGCATAATCTATATTCGATGGCCGGCTGTAAGAGAATAGAGCAGAAGGTCGCTTCTATTGTTTATCGTAAGCAATCAGATTCTAAAATTAATGATTAAGGAGATTTGAAATATTTAATTATAATATTTATAATATTAATAATAAAACTGATGAAAAAAATTGTCATATAAGCATTTCTATAACATCTCGATAAGATCCTTTATTGATAGAATTTCTTATTGGCACACTCAGAAAAATATATCTAACAATTAAAAAAATAGTAAAATTAATTTCTCGTACTTAGAATATATATATCTCGAAAAATAAATATATATATATATATATATATATATATATATATATATATATATTTTTTTTTTATATCTTTATATAGAAGTTGTTCGATAACGAGTAATGTAACTGTGCAGAAGGAATAACTTCTCAACTTTATCAAATTAAGTTTCCATAACTAATTAATTCAATTATTTGGAGCAACATGTTTTAATAAAAAAATTTATAAGTTACTAAATAAAATTTGGTATATTCACAGCTTTAAATCTAAACATTATTAATTTTTCTCAGGACAGAATTTTAATTGGCACCATAATTGAGCTTGCAATAAGTTGAGATATAAGAATTTTCAGGCAGCTTTCTTTCCATGAGTTTTCAATTAAACATGGCTCCAAATAACAATCCAAACAAAATTTTATCATTAATATTACATGCTATCATTATATTATTACATGTTATTAAAAAACTATATTAAAATATTTTTTAGTATTTCTCTTTTCAAACATATAAAATTATGAAAGTAAACGAACAGTGAAAATTTGTCAAAAGTTATAAAATTAAACGCTCGCCAAGGGAAATTATAATTAGTACATATATGAAATGAACATAATTTATAAAAAATATATATCGCATATATATATAACAAACTGATTTTATATAATGAGAAATTGTTCCCTTTACTCGTTATAATTACCGATCATCCTGTATGTAATTTATACGCATTTGTTCGCAATTTAATGTAAATATAACTAGAAGTATCTCTTAATAATTGTACATAAAGGATTATGGTATATATACAATTTAATGTCTAGCAATTGACTCTAAAATTTGATCATAAAGAAGAAAATTGTTTCCAATATATAGGCCATTATAAACAATATGATTATAAAAAGAGCAGAAATCGATAATGAACATCTTTTAATTAACATATTTGAAGTGCAGAATTATGCAGCCAAAAGTTTAAATTTTAATTCTTTGGTATAATTTTTTATTTTCTTTTTAAAAAAATTTAATTCGAGATTTCTTAAAATGACAATTAAATTCCCATCTTTTTAAGGATATTCTGTATGTGGTGCCTGCACAAAATATATATTTTTCTAAAGGCATTTTCGAACAACTTTAGTCTTTATGATGTGTATCACTTCCTAATAATAACCAGAAACGCCGTGTCGCAGTAAAAAATAATTGTCATCTTTATAATTCTATACATGTGGCTAAGAATATTTATCTAAGCGTAGCGCCAGTATGCATTATAACGGTATACGTATAATGCATTTGGGCTTTGTAAAATCTAAGAGAACAAGTAACATCGAAGTTGTGTGCGCGTGCGATGCACGAGAAATATAGTTTTATTTAGATTTTTTCTTTTACTTATACAATGCAAAAATGTTTCGCGAGTAAACTCGTTTTTCTAATTTTTTTCTATTGAGGTATAATAGAATTATCATGATTGCACCATAAGTGATTACCACGGTGTATCGCATTTATTGACCATCCAGAGGTTAATGAATATTAATTAGATTAGATCATTGCGTATAAAATATTGATTGTTTTACAGAGCTGTGAAAAAATAAGATATATATGATAGATAAAATTTTTGATTATGTTTTCCAGAATAAGAAGCATTTGTATGATTTGGTGCAGAATATAAAAAAAATTGTTATTGGAAATAAAATTCAAAAACATGCCTTCTCAATTTCATGTTATATGTGTGTGTGTGTGTATGTATGTGTGCGCTAATCTTTTTATAATATTTATTCTTTTCACACATATGTCAATATCAATATTTTAACATCTATTATAAATTTTATAAAAATAAAAATTTAAAGTTTAGATAAAAAAGGGCAATTTAAAAACTATAAAAATCATACAAAGATGAAAAACCCATATTAATAACCCATATTAATAAAGGTATAAATAAGCATTTCAATCATTTTTCAATTAGTCAAATGACTTTGCTTGCTAATAATTGCCGAAGCAGCTAATTTGAAAACTAGAGACAAGATGCGACAGCATTGTTTGTAGAATTCACGTAAATTATAATTGTGAGAACAAATTGATAAAGTATTAACACTGATTTGTATTGTAATATCAAACATATTAATCCATATACTGGGGGCTTTGACAGCAACATAACAACTTGATAACTCATGATGACATCGTCGATTTATTATTTACGATACATAACAATTTTTAGATATTAAATACTAATATTTTAGCGTTATTTCGTAAACTACAATTAAAAATTTCATTGTTTGAAATATGTGCAACGAATGAGAATCATTATATTTGTGTTATTGTTGTCATGTTGCTGATAATATAACATGCTATCACTAATCATTTGCTTTCGAAATTTTATTTATCGATTTTATTTATCGATTGCTTGTATAAGCACTCATATTATTGCATTTCAGTTATGTTTTCATATGCATCGATTGATTCAATATGATTAATCTCACTTGATTATCTGGATTTGATCATTCTTAATCCAAATATAAAAAATTACAGATATTAAACAATATGTAAAAATCAATCAGAAGATTTAAAATTCAATAGATGCAATGATCTAAATAATTAGACTTTAATAATTCTATTCTTCCTCTACGTACTCTTTTGGAAAGAATCCTACTTGATCACCTATTTTTCCTTTCCACCATCCTTTGGCATCGCCTTCTTTGCTTAGGACTACAACACGGCAACCGCGTCGCAAGCTCAATTGATTGCGTTCGCAGCCGCGAAAGTCAAATAGTGCCTTAGCCAAGACTCGCCGATACGGCCATAGTAGACGTTGGTCCAGCTTTTCAAAGTTTTCCGATAGCGATGCTCGTTCGTAATACTCGACCAACTCGACGACGCTCTTAAAGAATCGGGATTCGCTGAGATAATAGAGATCCGCACCATCCACATCACGTTTGAACACTCGAATATGTTTCACCGTCCCTTCCGCTCTGAAATATCCGAGTATTGAAATATATAATATATATAAAAAACGTTAAAAAAACATTAAAACAAATTTAAATAATATTAAAAAGAAGATAAAAAGCCAAAGGAAGAAAAGGAAAAGAAAAGTTGAATTTTATAGGGATAAAATACTTAAATGTTTTATCTAATCAATAAAGTTGTATTTAATAATTTGATTCTATATATTAAAAATTAATAAAAACAATGGAATACAAACGATTCAAATATTTTTTTCTCAATTAAACATAATATGAAAATAAAAATTAAAAATTCTAGTATTTTTTGCAAGTAAAAATTATTGTTATATACTTGAACTTACTTGATACTGAGCGCGTAATTGGTTTCGTGCTTGAGACGTGATTGTCCAGCTGGACGGACACGCAACATGTATGTGCCATCTTCGCGAGATTCTAGTTTGTTGGATGCCGCATCTCTACCCATCTCCCCGACGAACCATAACTTCACAGCAAGAGCGCGTTCACAAGGTAATGGCGGAGATGGTGTCAACAGCGGTGCCGTGGGCACGCAACGACCTGAATGTGCGATGCATTGCTTGTGTACGGCTAGGCGACATATCTCACATTTGTAACCCTGTAAAATAATATTACTGCATTCAAAGTGTATAGAAAATGTAGAGATATAAATGGAGAAAAAACAAAACTCTTTTTTCATGTTTTCATAAAATGCGGTCTTTTTGTAGGAAAAAAAGAAATATTGTTTTTCTTAAAAATTTTTTTTAAGTATTAAGTATTTAACATTTTTAGATTTTAATGATTAATTGTTTGAATTTAGTTTTAATTGTTAGATGACAGATTAAAATAAATATTATTTAAAATGTAGATCCCATTCTGATTGACAGGATAATTTTATAATTATTAATTGTATAATTATTATTGTATAATAATTGTATAATTATTATTTTTAATTAGGTAAATTCTTCAAGTAAAATTTAAATTTGAAATTGAATGGATTGTTTTTATTATAATTATTAAAATATAGTTTGCAATTTTTAAAAATGTACTTTAATCACTAGTTTAATATAATAAGAAACTAAAATTCTTATATTTTTCATTTATTTTTTTTCAAAAGTAATTTTAATAGATTAATAAGATTTCTGCGATTAAAATGATAGCAAGATATAAAATGGATAACTTTCAATTAGATGCCTAATGAAAATATTATGTGTCTAACTGAAGATTATTCGAATTATGGTGTTTGATGTAATTGCCAAAAGTCTTTAATTCATTAAAATTACCTCGAAAAATAATAAATGAAAAATATAAAAACTTTAATTTTCTAGTATACTAGTATTAACAAAAAATATGAAAAAAAATATTATATTAAGAAGGAAATAAAAAAGAATATTTTTTTCAACGATTTTCTATTAGAAAAAGAACAGTTTTTTACATCTCTAAGATATTTTTTACTAATTAGAAAAAGAACTTTTGTAAATCATTGTAAACTTTCATCATGCTTGAATTCAGCTTTACAAAATCAATTTTACAAATAATCAATAATGCATAAATGGTTAAAAACTGGTATTTCGCCACCTGGTTGATCATTTACCTGGAATATGCGGCCCTTGAGAAATTTTCCGCACCGTTGACAGCTCCTAGGAGCATCGAACGTTGTCAACTTGAACTTGTGATTGGTATTGCGACAAGCTGCAGGATTGACATTGTCCATCGCATCTTGCAGTGCCTTTATCCACATCTGCTTCTGCTCCTCCGTTCTTGCGTATAATGTGTATGCCGTGTACGCTTGCTTATGTACAAGTAACCACTGATAGGACCAACGCGAATCTCTACCTAACGTTCTTCGTCCTATGTGATCCTCCAATCTATAATCGTCTAATCGTAGAGTTTCCCGGTAACAATATTGGTCTCCTCTGCCCGCTTTACAAATCAATACTACTTGCTCGAATACAAATGCGTAACGAGCCTTTATCCGCTGGTCACCGTGAGCCTTCACCTGTAGAATTGAATTAACGATGAGATCATATCAAGTTTAACTATTTTGTTTCGTTAAAACCGTGTAATTATAAGTTTCGTCTGAAATTTATTTAATTTACATTTTTTATATTAATCTTTTTAAATAAATTTTAACTTTGAATTTAAACAACAATTAAAGTTTTTACTGTACTAATTTTATACAAATATTTTTGTACTAATTTTAGAGATATGTTTTTTTTAAAACAACGTTGAGCAAACCTTTAGTTCTCCGTCACGAAGTAATCGACCGAAATCCTTCAACTGCGCATCTTCGGGCACATCCCAATCAATTATCGATGCTTGAATATCCTTTATGATGTCCAGTGTATCGGAATCGCGTTTTACCTCGTTTATATACTGAGCGACATCGACCATTACTTCCCTTGCCTTCGTCAAGGCACGACAATCTTCAACCCATTCACGCGGGGTTTCTTCCACTAACTTGTCCAACAATAAGTGATACTTGAGTACCCTCTGCATCGGTACAGATAGTATATCACGCAACTTGAATTTACCATTGTTAGCTTCTTGTTGACATCTCTGTAATAAATGTCAATGTTAAAACTGTCACTGTTATTACTATTACACTTGAGATGTAAAACGACCATTTTTTTTAATGGAAAAAAAATTGAAACAAAATTCAGTTTCTTTATATTTTTTAAAATATAATATTTTTCTCCAATTTTTATTAATAAAATAAAACTAAAGTTTTTATATTTTTATCTTTTTTTAAAAGTAATTTTAATGAATTAATGAAATGATAGTAATTTGTAATGAGTAATTTTAATGAATTAATGATTTTGCGGCAAATTGCATCAATGACATGATTCAGATAATTTTCTCAATTAGATCATAATAATTTAATTATGCATGTAATTGAAAATTATTCAAATTATATGATGTTTGATATTATTTTAATATCATTAATCCATTAATATTTCCGAAAAAAAAAATTAATTAAAAATAAATAATAAAAACTTTAGATTTCCTATTATATTAAAATAGTAACTAAAGTGTATTTTAAAAAATGCAATTGTGTTTTACTATCTAGTAATATTAATAAAGATAATTCATTCAAGTTCAGTTTTGATTTGGAGAGTTTATCTAATTAAAATAAAATAACTATATGGCCAATTTAAATGTGATCTATTTGAAATAATGGTGATTAGTTCAAATCTATCATTTACGACATTAAAATTAATGAAAAATCAACTTGCAATAATTAAAATATAAAGATATTGAATATCTGTAAGAAAATAAAGTTTTAAAAAAGGCTTGTTAAAAAAAACTGTATATTTTTCTATTTATAACTCTACTTATACGAATTACTGATTTTATATATAATAGCAATCTATTTAAAGATTATATATTTTGTGGAATTATATTTCTAAATATTAAATAAATTTTATTAAATTGTCTCCTTTCTGTAAAAGAGATTCTTAAGAGTACACTTGTAAAATATTAAAGTTTCAATCTCCTGTCTTGAATTTTCACAATTCCACGAGTTGCACTGCAAAACTTACGATAACTTCTTGATTGATTACTTCGTTACGCGCGCAAATTTCCTGCAGAGTATTTTGTGCAAGAGTAAGATTCGCGCAGTAGTCGCCGTAAATGAGAAACTTCTCCCGCCAGTCCAGAAAAACTTGGGCAAGCGCGGCGCCGTTTCGCGCTTTGCGCAGCTGACTGTGGAAGCCCACGTGGATCTCTGCGAGTTCCTTGATGCCGAAGAAGATGCGCGTAGAATCCTCGGGCCGAAGTAACGATGATAGCGGACGCGCAAAATGCCTGAGTAAACTACTGAGAACCTCTGTATAATTTCGCTCAGTCTCCACAAGTTCCTGGATCACATAATCTCTCTTCTCACCTCCGGAAATGGCACCATCCTATATCAAGATTATTTCGATAAGGTTTTTTATACAAACTGACAGCAGTTTAAGTTGTGCAAAGTTGTGTTAAGCGTAGCACACATATGAAGGATAATAAAATTAATGCTATAAATATGCATATGAATAATAAATAAAATAGATTTCAGTAGTCTTTTTTTCATCTTTAATAATAGAGATTGATACTTAATATATTCATGCAATTTTTTTGTATATTTTAATATATATTTTTTCCTCTTTAATTTTTCTTCCAAATGTTTCGAATAATTACCGAGGAAAATAGAACATCTAGTGTCCCACAATTAGAATATGAAAGTAAAGTATTAACATTGATTAAAACATAATTGATTGAAAATAACGGCGATGATGACCTGAGTAACGGACGGAGGAGGTGGTAAGTGCAGACTACAAAGATCCTGGTAGATTTCTTCGCTTTGCGCGTGACTGCAAAAAGCTCCGTACCCGTCCTCCTCGCCGACCGGGTCTTCGTTATCCCCCCCGCCGACCGTTTCGTCACCCTCGCGTCTTCTAAACCTTCTGCGGCGACCCTCATCCTCGCGGCTTTAGCATAAAAACAAAAAAAAACACAGCCATGCACTATACATGCATACAGAAGTTGCTAAGTTTTTTTCGGCGGAAATAAAATTATAAGTAGCACAATTATATAAAATTTGTTGATGATAAGACGCCAATTGCAATTGATATGTATACTGCTACTGTGTCAAGTTCACTATAAATAATGAAACAATGTCATCACTGTATCTCTCATGCTTGTGTGTACACATAAACATATCTTTCTATTAATACATTTTTAATATATATGTAATAGTTCAAATATATTTTATGTGAAGTGTAAAAAAATATTTGGAATCCTTAAAATAAGAAAAATCCTTTCTTAGAAAAAATATAATTATTATATAATTGCAATGAGCTGAAATTTTAGTGTCAGAATAGATTAGAAATAATCAAATTAAAATTGAGATAAATTTGCAAGTATGCAAGTGATAAATTTTAATCACAGGATATAATATCTTGTTCATTTACATGTTTCAGTCACCTTGAATAATTTAATATTTATAGATTAAGATATCTACGCCCACATTTTTCAAAAGAACAATGATACAATGATGGCTGGTATTACTTGCAAAGTGTTTTTAAAATTGCAAAGTTTTGAAACGACGTGTACCTTCTCCGCAGAAGGCCAATCGCGCTGAGAATTGCTCGAGAAGCAAAGCAATTCCTGATAAACCTGAGACTCATCTACGTCCACAGCCCTAGTTTTTATGGTAAACGCCACCAATCCAGGCGTGGCGCTAAACCAATTAATAAAAATTACTAAAATGCCTCGTTTTATTATCATTTTTTAAGGAATAGAATAATTGTTTTTTTCATCTGTTATAAAAAAAAAATGTTCTCTTCTTTAGAAGGAATAAATCTTGATTTTCAAAATTAGCGTATAACATTCTTCGAAGCTTAATATTCATCAATAAACTATGTACACTTATGTAAGTTATTGAATTAAGTTATTGAAGTTATTGAAAGTTATTGAAAGTTATTGAATTAAGTTATGTAAGTTATTGAAATATTAATATAAAACTCTTACCCTACGCCAGCACTTTGCAAATCCTTATAAATGTCTTCTTGAGATCTTCCATGACCAACAGAAAATCCGCTACAATAAACAAGATTTATTCTCATTATTTCTCATGATTTTATAATTATTAGCGATAATTTTCTTTGTGTGACAAAATATATAGTAAATTACTTACAGTATACCCTTTCGCCTGAATCGTGGACAGTTGGATAAGGCGGAAAGCGTGCAGAGGACACGATGGAAATTAGATAAGTCGAACAGCATAGATGGCTCAAAGAGTTCCGGATCAGTGAGACCGAAGACGCTCGAGCATGCTGATAGGAATACTTTTATGTTACGCAAGCACAAAAACTGTGCCATTTGTGGCTTCTGATTCACATCTTTCATGTCTATACAAGCCGAGTCCACTATGTTCAGTAAATTGCAAAGCAATACACCATCTCGCAATGTGTAGGCCAAGTCAAACGCTGTTGCCTGTGGCCAATTGGCCTTGTGATCCGCTCGTAATGCACCGCATCTTGTCAACCAGCTGGCGCATTCCCGCCAGCCCTTGCCGGCATCTGCACTTTCTACTCTATTCATTTTCGTATTTCTTTTATCATTCAATAATTAGCACATAGAAGATTCCTGCTTATAATTTTGCAGATGCTTTGTCCTACTAGCTTTCTAAGACATGCATCATGTCGCACTCTGTAAAATTATATCAAAATAAATATATATATATAAAAATAAATATATATATATATATATATATATATATATATATATACATATAAAATAAATATTGCAACATAGAAAACTTACGAAATTAAGAAGTTTGCATAAAAATGTTAAACTAAATTTATATGCTACATTATTATAAGATATATAAATATAATATACATACTGATATTAAGAAAATATATGGGTTGATTTATTCTTATCATTACAAGCTGTATTCGTATCATCCGCGAAAGGGAGAGTCTTCTTGTAAAATCGCTTCAAATTCGCGAGATTAAATCGTGCGGGCGATTCTTATCAACCATTGCGATAGATTCGACAATTTAAGCATCTCTCGGTCCATCCTGGTAGAATGCATCGGGACATCGCACATCAGCTGATTGTCAAAGCGACGATGTAGCAGCGTGATTCGTAACAGCGGCACTTGTGGACTCGCTCCGTCGAGACGATGCCATCACGTTGTCGTGCCACATTACATCTCCTCTCTGTCTCACTCGCGAGGTATGTACAGGTTGTACAAGAGAGAGAGAGAGAGAGGGAGAGGGAGAACGTCCGCGAGAAAACTCTTGACGAGACACGCAGGAGTGTAAGGAAAATTACTTGCGGTTGTTTAAAATAATATTAATTAGCTTTGCTCGCTCAAGCTCGCCACGATATCCTCATCATCAGATATTTTCGCATCAGGTTCCGGAAACCGCACAGTGTACTCGGGATCCGCCATACCATCCCAACGATCAACGATATGTTTTCTCCCACCCGGTCCCAGTTCCCAGTATTCTTGGACTAGCTTCCAGGACCGGCCGCACATCTTCGGGCACCTGGGCGGATACCTTGCAGACTGTCTCGAGGGAGAATGTCGAGGTAGATAAATTACACATAGATATATAAAGACATGTATCTTTATATGTTTATGAAATTACACGAATAAATATGGAGAATAAGAAAGATCTGTAAAAAGATTACATATATATAATGTTATTTTTAGCATTAATTTTGTAATTTCTAAAGAATTTTTATTTGTCACATTTTTTAAAATTCTTTCAAGATTTATTTTATGTTATTTATTTAAAACGATTACAAGATTTTTGAGGCCACATATACATAATTTCTTTGTGGAATATATTTTCAAGCAGATGTTCTTTCATTATTTGACTGATCGCAGTCGATCACTCGAATTTTTCGATTCGATTTCCTTGATTTCCCGCTATCACATTCAAAACAATTGCATTCGTTTATTCTTTAATTTATTATATAAAATTACTTATATAACAATAAAGGAGAAAAAAAGAGAATGCAGTTAAAAAAACATGACAAACGTCTAGGTTAGGTATGCATATAGTTTCTCTCTTAATAAAAGCAATAAATTAGAATATTAATAAATTCGAACAAAGAATTTTGAATTATATTGAAAGCTTATTTACATAAGATGGATGTAAATATATAAAATTGAAAGGCATATTTAGTAATAAACACAAACTTTTAATTGATATATATCTTTCTTTTTTTCATTTTTTCGGAATCTATATGATTTACCTTTTTTTTAAAAGAATATTATTAATAATTTAAATAATTTATGTATTATTCAATAATATTTTTTAATAATTATATAAATAGTTATTCTAAAATATTATTTTACAATTATTTCAGACACATGCTTAATTGTTTTATTACGATAAAGATATATAGGTATTCTAAAATATTATTTTACAATTATTTCAGACACATGCTTAATTGTTTTATTACGATAAAGATATATCTTATGTGCAATGACAATGTTATGCGTGTAAAAAGTATGACGTCATCAGCGACCTCTATGGTCAGCGCAGTCCTTTCTCGTGTGTTGTTTCGGAAACTTGGCGAGCTGTGATTCAGATTCGTACGACGAATGTGCATGATCTGCAATAATGTCGATATCATCGGTTGAAGAAGTAGATCGCAAGAAAGGCTGAGCAAGCAGGTAAAAACTATGATATCTTTTCCGAACAGATTCACACACGCACACACATATATTTTATTTTAAAATATTAAAATACAATTCCTATTTACGACGCTGCTCCACTCTGGAAGCTCCAATAGCGTATGTGTGGTGAATATACAGGGTGATTCATTTTAAACGATGCATTGATATTTCGCGAAAATCAAAACTTTCGTTAAAAAATGTTTCGTATAAAAATGAGGATCCATAAAATTTATATTCAATATATAAAATCAATATCAATATATAAAATTTATATATTCAACATATAAAATCAATTAAAGTGTTTTAAAAGTGTTTCAAAAAAGAATATGTATATATTCCTTTTTTTAAAACTTTAATTAATTTTTGACAATTTGATTTAAAAATGGGGGAGAGATATGGCAATGTGAATATATTTGTTACATTGGAAATTAAAAAATATATTATACAATTCTATTTATAATAATAAAAATTTTTAATTTGCTTCATATTAAAAATTATATAAAATAAATTTGCTTCATATTAAAAATTACAGGAAACAAATTCTAGTTTTAATATTAATTCTAAAAGTTAGTGTGTTAATAGAAATTAATAAGATTTAATCATTAGAATTTTTTCAATGCGAAAAACTAAAACGTATAGAGATTAATAAAAGAAATAATGAAGAATAAATATTTATTATAGTCAAAATTGTTTGCGAAATATCTATTATACAGAGCATTAGACTATTCGTACCATTCCTTTTATTCATAAACGTGATGTCGCATATGATGATAAGATAAAAATTTTTATTACGCATGTAGAATCGATTGTTCTTTACCAGAATTTAACTGAACACCTATTAATTACTATAATTTATTATTAGTATGCAAATTTGTTAATTATTTCGAAATTTTTGTTAAAGCTATTAAATTATTTGAATTTTCAATAAAAAATAGTAACGTTTATATTTTGCGAAATGGGTATATTATTTCTAAATATAATATAGCTATTATATGTATATTATATGTATAATATCTGAGCTTGTTGTTTCAAATTTATAATTTATAAAGAATATTAATATTTCAAAATTTCCGCATAAACCATTATATTTTTAATTGTTATTACGTAATAGGTATAAAAAGTAAAAAAATACATTATTGTTTCTTATTGGAAGTTCAAATTATTACTGGTAATGATTACAAAAGATGTGTTATTTTGCATAATTACAAAAGATGTATTATTTTGCATGATTACAAAAGATGTATTATTTTGCAGCAATGTCATCACATCTGCAAATTTATATTATTCGCACATGTTTCAGAAAGCGTTTAGACAGAAATATGCGACGAATTTTGCTTCGATGAACCGAAAGTAATGTAGATCGAACTATTTATCAGCGCAATTACAGCAGCTTTGTTCTATGACGTAATTGTCTCAAGTACAGCGGTATAAATTCAGAAGTTTGCGTTTGTTATCGTTTTTTAAATTAACGCCATTCATCATAAACGTCTGGATTAAACCGTAGATCTAGCGTTTTCGCAGTCGTTACGAATTTTTGAGCATTGATAACATTCCGTACAAAATGTTTTTATTATTGTGCGTAAATATTTTGTCTGTTATCTATTGGAATGCGGCAGCAACTCCTTCATGCAGGGATGAAAATAATCAGATCGTCGATTGGTAAATGCATTTGAAATATCTATGTGATATTTATATCTTTCATAGATTTTAGCAATTTTTTGAAAGATAAAATCAATTGTCGTGAGTTATGAAAATTTGTGAAAAATTACAAAAGATTTTAGAATTATGAATAAGTATGTTTTATATAAATAATATCAAGAATTATATACTTATATAAATCTATATACATTTATATATATTAATTACTTATTGCTTTTTTTTGCTCGTAATTTATTAATTGGATCAAATTAAATTTTTCTCATTTATTTCTCTTTTTATATATATTTGAATTTATTTAAAGGCATACAATAAAATTTTTCCATAAATACATATTATTTCTAATGAATTATAATGAATTTTAAATAAGAAATTATTTTGAATGTTTTTATATTGATTTTAATAATCGACAATGTCCCGATCTTCCATCTACCTTATAACTTTTATAATTATAATGTTTGCTATTAATAATTATTAACAATTCAATGAATAATTATTACAATTTGTAGGTATGTACTTTATAAGTTACCAAAGGTGTCACAAAGTAGCAATCCTTTGATTAGAAGCGGATTAGCATACTTATATATAACTAGCGAAACTATTAACAAGGCTAACGGGGGTTGGCAATTATCTACGAAGAAAATTAGTGATAAAAATTCTATACCAGGAAACACGTTGTCACCTTTATACAATGATGTAAGAGAAAATACATCATATACGTCTTGTCATGCGTTTGAGATTTTTTATTCAGATTTATTTATTAAATAAATTAATTACACTGTAGTGCAATTTTTTTATATTTACTATTTTGTATATAAAATTTATTTCTTTTCTATTAATTTCAATTACAAATATAGAAATTAATTGTAATTTTAGTAAATTTTAAATATATTTATTAATTTTTTTATATATTTTAAAGAATTTTTCTTTTCAAAAATTATAATACTGTAAAGTTTTTTTTTAGTTTTGAAATAAAAGACGGATTTAAAAAAAAATTTAAATTATGTTTCATAATGAGTATGTAATATTTGTGTTTATATGATTATGAACTTTCAGACAGAGGCTATGAAAGCTTTCTGGATTTTGTATAATGATGATCCGCCTAATAGACCTTCTAATGGAAAATATGGCCATACGAAGGGCGCTGTGGTAGCGAACATGCAACAAGGTTTCTGGTTGATACATAGTGTTCCGAATTATCCACCTGTACCCAGCAGCGGTAATGACATAAGACATAAGAGGGTATGCAGTATTATTTTGAATATATCAGAGTATCGAGATTAACTACTGATTTTTCCGATATTCAATATTTCTTATAAACAATAATTTTTAATATTTATTATAATTATTTTATTAGAATTATTTATTTATATCATACGATTAATAATTTATTTACATCATATTTACTAATAAGAAAGATCGATTATAAATAGATCAGATGACAATTGTTTATTTTATCAAATTAATATAATTCAAGAATTTTTTAAAGTTTGTAAAAATTATCATTTATTCTTTCTCTAATCCTTTTGTAATAATTATTAAGAACTTCTTAGTTACTCGAGTGGTTCGATTTTCTTATTTAATCTAATTTAATACCGTATGAGTGGTATAGATGAAATCCTAAGGTACCTTAAATGAAAGAAATACTGCAAATCCCTTAGGGACAAGATGTGCAGAAGAATCCGGCCCCGGGAAATCGGTCTGAGTACGATTATCCATCATCCGGGAAGAATTACGGACAGAGCTTCCTGTGCATCTCTGTGAACGGCGATCAATTCAACTTAATCGGTCAACAGCTGATCTACAGAGAGATACTAGTATATAGGAAAAACACACCTAGCCCGTTCGCCCAGTCATATTCAGTGCTTACAGACGCAGCCAACCAAAAGCGAATCAGAAAAGCACCCTTCAGCAGCAAATTGATACTAAAATCATTTAACAACATTACATTTACATCATTCGCCAAGAGCGACAAGTGGCCGCATGGTACACGCATCTCTATATTTGTTTTTTTTTTGTATTGGATTACTTTAATGAACAATGTTTTTTTGAAGTAAGAAGTATGTTAATGCAAGAAATACTTCACATAAATTGTTATTACAAAGTATTATTACAATATATAATATTATTACATAAAGTGTTACTCAAAGTATTATTGTAAAGTGTTTTTACACGAAGTATTATTACAAAATGTTTTCTCCGAAATTTTACATTGTATAGAAAATGTTTTAGACAAAATTTATTGAGTTTTGAGAGTAAAGAGAAATTGATAATCTGGAATTTTAATTAAGGCCATTTTTCAAGATTATGTAAAGATCAATGCAATTTTTATTCTACTTTTATTCTATCTTGTAATTTTTAATGAATAAGAAATATGTTGCAAAAAATACGTTTTGAATAAAAAAAATTAAGGTGATTTTATTTAAAGAATTAGATTTATTTTTGTACAATCTTGAAAAATGTTTTTAATTAAAATTTAATATTTATTAACTTCTCTCTCTCTCTCTCTCTCTCTCTCTCTCTTTTTCTTTCTCTCTTTCTCTTAAAAGTTTATAAATTGTGTCTGAGATATTTTTTTGTACGACGTCAAGTTTCAGAGAAAACTTGTAACATATATGAATATTAATGTGTGAAACATCCTCCCAGATCACATGTCCAAAAGACGTCTTAAAATCCTCTAGAAATCTTTAAAACGTCTTTTGGCCTATTTGCTGTCTGGGCGGTATATTTGTCAAATTTTAAAAATTTTTAATTTCTGGCTGGTAACTATGATTAGCTACAATTGGCAGACGACCAAGCAAAATATTCTCATATATTCATAAAATTAATAATTTGCTATAATTTTATATATAGATCACAATGATTAACATAGTTTTATAAATGTTAATTTATAGATTTATATGACAAATTTGTCGCACCAACTTTGCAATCTAATTTATTAACGGAAACGTGGTTGAATGGACGGGGTAAATTACCATCAGATTGTGAGCGCATAAAGTAATAATGCTTTTATTATTTTTTGAGTGTTTAAAAAATGTTATTTGCATCTGATTTAATTAAGCGTTGATTCTTTTGTAGAGTATACAATATCAAATCTATATTAATTCCCGTGCAAGAGTTTAATATTGAGTTTAAGAGCAGCCACGATCATTCAAAGTGGGCGGTGGCAACTGAAAATAAAGCTAATCAAACTTGGATTTGTATCGGTGATATCAATCGAGCGGTAAGTGCATGCATCTTTTATATATAAAAATGCCTTATATTTAGAAGAAATTTAGAGAAATATTTAGAAAGAAATCTCTTACTATCATATTATTTATATATGTATAACATTTTATGTATTCTATATATTTTATTTTATGTATTTTACATATATTTTATTTTTATTATATTTTATTTTATTATATTTTATTAAATTTTATTATATATTTTTATATATATTTTATATTCTACATATTTATATATCATATTTATTATCAATTATGTCACTAAACTATACAATAGAACAATTAGTAAAATTAATTCAAATAAAAAGAAAAAAAGCAATTTTCTAAAATATTCTATATTCTATATTATTAAAATTGATTATTAAAATTGATTAATTAAATTGGTCGCATCTATTTTTTATTAAGTAACAAAGACTTCTATAACATAATTTATGATTTTCAAAATCTATTTTTCTTCTACACATACATCTTTTTAATTTAATTTACTAAGAAAACATATATGCTTCATTAAATTTATTTTATTATCTTTCAGGACACTCAATATCATCGAGGCGGCGGAACTGTCTGTTTTAATCATCCGAAAGTCTGGAAAAATTATCGATATATCGTGAATGACGTAGAATTATGTCCTAAGCAGTATTCGGCAATTTTAGCTTAACGCATTTGTTTATAATCTTGTTTAAAAAAATTAAAATGTTGAGAGATTTGATTACAATGGTAACAATTATTTGTCAATAAAATTTTAAGCAATTATTTTATCTATTATGTCGATAAAATTTTTTAAGCAATTGTTTTATTTATTATTGTTAATTATTTTGATTACAATGATAATAATTATCTTTATCGATACTTATAGTGACATTTATACGTAGTTGATGAATTGAAAAAATCTTGCATGTTAAAAAAATATGAAATGTAAGAAATAATGTGTAATAATTAAAATATTATATAATATTATATAAGATATTTTTCTAAAATGAAAAGGAAAGAGAGAGAGAAAATTCAATTTCTTATATTTTTGACAGCAAAATAAAAATGTATTTTGTGTTGCCAAAACATTTTTTTTTGCCAAATTTGAAAATTTTATTGACAAATTCTTGATAGTATGCTATCGACATGAAAGTTAATATTGAGTTACTGTAGTATCAGTTGTAAGCGATTAGATAAGAGAACGAATCTCTTCAAGTTGTCCAATAGAGGTCTCCACAATCTCATTTACTCATATATATATATATATATATATATATATATATATATATATATATATGAATGAATATATGAATGATTGCACCAACATTCGCTCCTATGAATAAATGTATGAATAATACATATATAAATGAATAAATATATAAATGATATCTCTCCATATTTTTATATATTATAAAAATGATTATATTACAATATATTTATTATATTATAAAATATTTTTATAATAGATATCTTAATACTTTACAAAATGTTTCACGATAATATAATTATTTAGATATTTATTTATATTTTCGAAATAAAAAACGGTTTATACATATATATATATACATATATATATATATATAGAGAGAGAGAGGGGGGGGGGAGAGAGAGAAAGAAGATGGAAAACATTTATATAAATATCATGAGGATAATATTAAAATGAAGATCTTGAAAATTAAGATAAATATATTTTTATAAAAAAAATTGGAACAAATATGTTATGTAAGATGACCATTTCTCTCGCAATTATATACTTGTATCTTTTTTTTTCATGTATTTGTATAATTTAAATTTATATTCTATTCGTACTTGTTTTACGATTATTCAAATAAAATAATATACGCGCCAATTTTCAAATTGTATGTACGTGGATAACAAATTCTCAAATTTCTTACATATTTCGAGGTATCCGTTTAAAATCTTTGTAAAAAATGTTAAAGATAAAACGCCAATAATCGTAGCAGTTGACTAGAAAGTGCGTTTCACTTTCATCACGATTCCTCAGTCGATTTTTGTCGCGAAGTTTTTCAACGCAATAAAATTGTCAACCGCGCATGTCCGGCCGCCATGACAGTTTCAATGAGTCGTGCCGGTTCGCGCACGGAGCGCGTAGTTCTGTTAATAATCGCGAATTTGATTAATTACAAGTGTATAACGACGGAAATTTCTGTCGAGAATGCTAATTAAAGTGACGGGCGATCGGCAGAATGCATCAAGTGTCGTGAACCTTCGCTATTAATGGCGTTTTATCGATTATGATTCCCGCTGCGTATCATAGTTTTGAAATCGGCAGTTTCGAGTGAGTATAGATTTCGATATTTCAGATATGCGAAAATGTTCTTTATGTTTCTATGTGAAACTCGTGTATATTAACGTATTGTAAATTTAAAAAAAATAATATCGGCGAAATATGCTTGTTTTTGTTAGATACTACGTAGGTCTACGTGGGTAGGTATACGTGACGACCTCCGCGTGACCGTCAAACAGTCGTCGTCACTCTTCTCGTTCGCTCATTATGCGTGCACAGTGTCAAACGTGTAAAGGGATAATATTCTGCTATTTATTACGTGCACGCGAAGTGCGTTTTAACACGCGTCTTGCGATGTGAATTCGCGTTTCTTCGAAAGCGAAGCTTTCTGCGAATCAACTTTCAAAGTTCGTCCAACAAAGTGCACATTTACGATCTTCGTCGCTGATGCGAGGCAATTTCCGGCGGATTTCCACAGGTACAGTAAATTGCATTATACCAGTTGACTAGCAACAAATTTATTCATTATTTAAATGTGTATTTTATCTCAAAAGTATAATATACATGCAGAGAGAATTGTAATTAAGATATTTATATATATGTAAAATATATTTAATAAATGAAACATTTAATAATTTGTATACAAAGTAAAACATTTATCAAATATTTGTTAAATATTTTTGTCGAAATTAAATAAATATTTATTATATATATATATATATATATATATATATATATATATAAAACATAATAATTATGTCTTAATTAAAATAAGAGAATAATTAAATAATATGTATCATAATGTAAAAATGCATAAATACTCAAAATAATAGTCACAAATATTAATTTTTATAATTTTTTTTGAAATAGGTGCAGGTAATTTAAGATACGCATTTGGAGAATGAATTTTATTATTTTTGCACGTGTCATATAATACTGATATCATCTGCTGTTATTTGCCAAATAAATATACTATAATAATTGTTGAAATCTGTATTTTGACAATCATATCTTTGTATGTAAATAATAAAATAATTTTTTTCTCATATTCCATTAATAACGACAAATTTAAAATTTCGCACAAATTACATATATTTATTACTTTTAAGTAAATTACAAAAATTATCTCGAAATACAGATCGATTTATATAAATATATATATATGTAAAAAATAAAATTCTCTGTGAAATTAAATTAAAAAATTAATTTTAGAAATTAAATTTTTTTAAAAATACAATATTTAATATAGATTTACTTAATAGATTTAATAAATATATATTTATGAATATATATTTTTTTACAATTTTATGATTAACAAGCTTAATATTTTTGCAAACGAATGATTGTCAAAAAACGGTTTCGGATATGCAGTTATGAGATTGAACCACGAACGACGAAAAAGCCATGATTTTTAATACAATTGCTTATATAATTGGTATTATCGACTTGCTTTTATGGTGTGCATTTCACGATTCTCATCTTTCGCCGAACATCATAAAATTCGAGGATCTTTTAAACGTGACTTGCTTCTCGAAAAGAATGTTTGCCGTGAAGTACTACAGCTATTTTCACTGTAATTTTGTTACATAATTTTTATAATTTTGTTTTTTTTTATTTTAAATTAAAATAAATTTAAAATTAAAATAATACTTATGTTTGAATATACAAATCTCTATTTTCTGTTTTATTTTAATACCTGTGAAAAAATTAGATAAGAAATAGTTTTTAATTTGTTTAATTGTTTCTCTTCGTGTCGCAATTAAAGATTATTTATATATTAATCGTGTTAAAAATTTCAAACAATTATTCTTAATTTAGATGATTTATATTTCTCTTATATTAACTATCGACGTTAGAAAAGTATATTATCATCAATATTGTAGATTATAAATATTTGTTTTATAAATGTTTGTAAAAATAAAATTAATAATTTTTTTATATTTTTCTTATATTCTTTCATAATATTTATTTATTATTTATTGATCATAATCCTTTCAGCTTTAGATGAGGTACTTGGTTTACAAAAATCTCTTATCTTCATTCATTCTTTCACCCATATTTCAAATTTATTCTAATTATCTTAACTTATCCTATATTATCTTATTCTATTTTATTTTCTTTAGTCTTTCTCTCGCTTTTTTTAACTTTTGTAACTCCTTTTCTCTTCTACTCTCTTCTGTTTCCGTTGTCTCCTGCTCTTTTCCACTTCTGTACTTCGTCTTTTATTTCTTTTCCCTTATTTTTATGTCTCTGTATATTCTTTCTCTTCTGCTCCATCTACTACTTTGCTCCATCTCTTCTTTCTCTATTCGCGTCTCCTCGCCTCATTCCCCTCTTATTTCGTATAGATCCTTATTCCCTCTTCTAACTCTTTTGCTCTAGTTTCTCTTTCTCCCCTTTACCCTCTTTGGTTTCTTCTCTCTCGGATTTCCTCTAGTTTGTGCTCCATCTTCTTCATTTCAGACTTTCAAATCACGCGAAATTCAGCCTTTAATTGATCCTATCTCTGCATCTATTTCATTTTTCCCATTATTACAATATAGTTTTACTTCTCGTTTTTCCGTTTGAAATCTTCCTTCCTTCCTCTTCTTTTTTCTTCTTTTCTCTTCCTTTTATTTTCTTTTATTTTTCTCGCTTTGTCTTTGTCTTGTCTTTTGTCTACTTCTACTTTTCCATTTCAAACGTCAGTTCCTGCGTTTTCTTTTCTCGTATCACTATTTTCTTCAGCCTTTCTTCTTTTATTTTCTCTTTTTTTCTCTTTAATTATTCTCGTTCTACCTCTCTCTCCTTTTCCATTTCAGGCTTTCAAATTTTGCGAAATCCAATCTATTTCTCTTCGATTCATCTTTCTTTTTCCTCTCCATTATTTTCCTTTCCATTATTCTTTCTTTTCTCTTCAAATCTCTCTAGTTGCTTCCTGTTTTTTTCTTCCTTCTCTTCTACTCTATCTGTATCCTTTCTTTTCTTACATTTTAAACTTTTTCCAACAATGCATTTCTGTTATTCTTCCTTTTTTTCTCTTCAAACCTCTCTGGATGATTCCTATTCTTTTTCTCTTTCTTCTCTTCTACTCAGACTTCATCTCATTCCCTTCTATCTAAATTCTATTCTAATTTTACTCTAATCTCTTAAATTGTGTGGGTCCTATATTCTTGTATAATATTTATGTTACAAAATGTTGTTGAATTCAAAATTGATCAATCACAGGAATCATTCAAAATTGATCTTTCAAAACGAAAAGAAAGAAAAATAGAGATAGGAAAAAGATACCTGATTATCCAGAGACGATCGAGTGATTTACTTGGTCGACTTGGAAATACGGTTTACCACTTGCCGTGGACAGAAAGATGGGTGAGAATGACGGTGAAATGGGAGGGGAGAGGAGACACAGCCATACCTTGGAATGGTAATGGTAATGGTATTGGTGCAGAATGTCGGAAATGCGGATTACGTATACGAGCGTTCGTTTCTTGCCCGATACTTTCTTCAATATCGTCTTCGCTGACTTCGAAGTTCTTCTCCGTTCGTTTACAGT